GTCGGTGCAAATGTAGGGGAACATCATAATGATCTCTTCCAACGTTATCGTCCTCTGCATGAATGTATCCCACACATTACTGGAGGGTCCCGAAAGACGAGATCTAAGCAACCCATCCCGCCATGAATCTCTATCTCGTTGACAAGAGTCCAAAGTAATCAATAATAATACATGTATCGAGGTCTATAGTCTATAGTGGGGCCGGTTGAGAGAATAAAATAACTATTCGGTTGGGCACATAAACGCACTCGTGATTTTCTAGATCATAGGGCGTAACGGTCAGGTGACGGAAACACACGTCAGAGGGAGAGAGGCGAACGAGCGAGAGAGATCTGGTGTGCAGATCCTGTTTCATGTATAATCTATGTGCCCGGGTCACCGGCGTCAGTATAGGTTGATATCAGCTCTCTCGACTGTGTCGCCTCAGATCCTCAGGTAAGAGACACGTTATTCACCTCTTCGCTTTGCATAGGACGAATCGACCAGTATGGAGAAACGATCAAAGTCGTACGTTTAGGATTAATGAAAATCGAATGCAGAAGTTCAGATTACTCTCGGGATTTATCGAGTTTCTGTTGTAGGCTACACATTTTTAACTCAGTTCCGAGCCTGTTGTTTGGTAAGATAGTTTGTAAGAGTAAACTGTAACCTGGCTTGTCCGTTGCTGTCAGTGGCGTCCGTATCCTATAATCCTACTGGTTAGGCTACCAGCCCCGTAATAGATTGTAAGATTGTGGGTTCGGGGGGTTCGAGCCTCAGCTCGGTCCGACGTTGTGTCCTTGGGAAAGGCACTTAACACGAATTTCCCATTTAATTGGCTCGGTCTTTCGGAGATGAACGTTAAACTCGGAGGTCTTGCTTCTTAAATAACCTAATAGTGTTGAAAGGGGTGTTAAACATATACCATGTTACAATTTCAACCGACGAAGTCTTCATGTATACACATTTTGCACTGTTTCCTTTATTATTTATTTGTCTTGTTCTGTGGCGGTTGTTGACCCAAGACGCCCTACTGAGTGCAATGTAAGGCTTTTAGAAGGCAAGTCACTTTGTCCCCCGTCATGGCTCAGAGGAAATGTTCCCTTTACGTGTACATGTACTTAGTTATACATGTACGACTAGTGCTGGTGGCTGGAGAATGACACTGGTGGATCCTACTTCCACAATTATTTGATGATTTCTAGTCTTCACTGATCAAATACGTCAGTTATCGAGATAACCTGCCGTAACGTATCACCCAGCAGTATTGCAACCGAGGTCATATTTTTCCTGTCTCTGTCACATTCTGATAGGCAATTGTTCTCTGTCTGTCGTCTGCTTCACATATAAACAAATGACTTTATTTAAGTTAGTTTTTCTTGTGCATATCACAAGTAACGATAATATAAGGGAAATTCACATGCAATTAAAAAATGCTGAGTTGTGTATGGGCGTGCGCCGTGCGAGTGTGTGTGTGTGTGTGTGTGTGTGTGTGTGTGTGTGTGTGTGTGTGTATGTGTATGTGTGTGTATGTATCTATGCATGTGTGTTTGTGTGTGTGTGTGTGTGTGTGTGTGCGCGCGCGTGTGTGTGTGTATGTCTGTTTCATACTCTTGCATGAACCGTCACTTCATGATAGCAAAAGTGTTGAATTCTGCATTTTATCACGAGAGTACAGGGAAAAACAAGAAAAAAAAAGAATAAAAAGATAATGTGGTGCGCGGAATGAATCGGCAATTTTCGGTGATAAAATCAAACTTGAAGCCTCAATTAGGAACCTTCCCACGCACTGCGGGTGTTTGTGGTGTAGCAGTAAGGCTCTTCTCAGTCGAATGCAGGAGACTCGAGTTCAATTCCCGAGTTACAGAACATCTTTATCGAGTATCTGAGATTTTATCTCGGTCTTTCTGCTGGGAAGTAGTATCCCTCCCAGCCCGAGTTGGCTCTGGCAGGCAGGATCGGAAGTCTGCCTCCTAAATTATCTAAATTGTGTCGATGGGAGCATTAAAACACCTACATTAAAAAGGAAAAGCCTACGTACTTTTGGAGTCTCTACTCTCCCTGAGGTCACATTTGTCAGCCATGTTGTGACGTCACTTGCATTACCTGCCCAAACCGATTGCCCGACTCGCGGCCTTGAAAACAACGTCGGTTTCGTTCGGTTAGTGCCACGATGGTAGCTTTTGCCTCTCCATGGAGGAAAATCTGGCTAGACTTGACGACCAAACCCAACCTTAGCGAACCGAACCGAACCGATCATGCCATTAGGCACCAAGGCAAACGGAGCGTTCCACTTATTTCAAGAAACAGGGAAAGAGGTGGGGGGTTCATTGTTCATCAAGCTACCGACAGCTTTGCTTGAGGTAATTTTTTAGGTAGGTTCTTTTTTACATTTACATGCCCATATATCTCTGTTGCAGTGTGCTCAAGGTCGAAGCAACCCGCATCCTATGTAATCTAAATTACGTTGATGGGGGCGTAGTACATTATTAATATATTTTTTTACAATTACAGAAACCTGCATCTTCCAAGACCTTGCAGCACCAAACGAGTGACCGCCATGATGTACTTGACATCACGTGACTTGAGGAGCATCGCCGTCTTGTTTTTGTCCTGTGTGGCTTGTGTCATGGCCAAGCCTGCAGTGACCAGAACCCTGGCGCCATTAGAGGCGCCTGTCATTGGTGAGATTTGGTTTGGATTTTTAAAAGTTATATGTTTTGACGTTCCCATCGACGCAGTTGAGGTAATTTAGGGGGCGAGCTT